CATTGATTTATGATGACAATCAAGGACAGGGAGTGGTGTAGCTTGTAACGGTGTTTGAATTGAAGAACGACAGGAAGAGGAAGCGTGAGAGATTGGAAGCGGCGTTGTCTGCATATTGGAGGGTTGAGAAGAGGGAAGAAATTCGTGAGTTGTGAGGTAGAAGAGGTTGAGCTGGGCCTTAGTGTAATGGGGTTTCAATTAAAAAGGGATAAATAAATTTGAGATGGACCGTGGGCAAGATATGTTTAACAGGGCACAATTAGTTTGGATGGGTTTTAGTAGTTGCCACGTGGCATGATAATAGAGCCGACTTTTTAATCCAACGTGGGTGCCTTAAGAGGGCTCAAACTGTTCCTTTTAGTTAGTATAATAATTTAATAGTATACGTTTGTATTAAATAGTTAAAATTTTATAATTTAATATTATATCATAATATCAAACTTCTATATTTAAAAAAAAAAACTAGTTCATCACGCATGGTGCCGAATATCATTTATTTATTGTAACTAAGTAAGATAAAAATTTTAACAAGGCATCACAAATACAAAACTTGTTTCTTACAGCAATTACTTTCATTTATAAAAAAACTATAGCACCACAAACAAACAAAATGATGTCAAAGAACATTTATATTAAAATCTTGTTCCAAAAGACCAAAACTATAACATTACATTTTAAAAATACACTGCTCTATTCCCTCGTGTGTCGTATTCAATAGATACAAATAGTATTTGTATTAAGATTATGATTATCAATGAAAAACCCACCAATAAATCATTATTGAGTTTGGTAGGCACTGCTAGTCTTTCTTCCGATATATTATTCATTATTATAGTTGTTTATTCTCTGTACAATTTAATATAAATAAATCAACTAAAACCAAGGACTCTATTGTATATTTTAAGTTTTTAACTATATATTTATGTAAACTTTCAAATCCTCTAGATTGTTTAATTTAACTTGTTTGAATGGAGTTATCAGAAATGTGGCAAATCATGCACGATATCAAGTGGTTGGTGGTGTAGTGGTCTTGAAATTTTAAAAAGAGTTTTCAAAGTTACTAGTTCAATTCCATTTGAAAAGAGTGATTTACGCCTTAAACGTGGTATTATCAATGATTGGTCCTGGACACCGAGGAGATTATGAATCAAAGATCCGGAACTTCAACGATTTATTAAAAAACAAAAAAAACCATGCATAGTTTAAACCTCGCGCATAGTAAAATACTAAATAATGAAATTACTTAAGACTTAAGAGTGCATGACTACGTTAATGACGCAATTCTATTCGTTGTTTTTTTTTTTTATCTAAAGCTTTATTAGGCAGTAAATGGATAATACAAAGTGTTTATTTTTTAAGCAATGATAATTATTATATATACGCTATTTCTATAAAAACAAAAAAACAAAAGATAATTATATATACACAAAAATCAACGTACGTTTTGTGTCTTGACGTTAATAAAATAAATTATTCGATGTATTGAAAATACACG